CCTTTGAACACTTCCGAAGAGTCGCTCCGCCTCATGGTCGTGTGGTCCAAGGAATTGGTGGACGTTGAGGTTCTTCCCGTGGACCATTCGGACGACAAGGGATTCCGGTCGGCCATTCTGAAGTTCAGGACCACGAACGGCGCAATCGAGGCGAAAAACATGCTGGACGGGAAGTCCAACATTTCCAACGACGCGAACATGATTGTTGAGATTCTTGGAGGAAGTCCGACCACCTCGAGGCGATACGCCGAGCCTGCAGGTACTGGGCCGTCGAGCACCGCTTCCTCCGCGACATCATCTGCACCAACATCGCGACAGCCATCGCGATTCAATGGGGGGTTTCAGCCTCTCGAGAAGATCTCGCCGCCCCTGAACGCTATCTACGGCTCCAGCGAATTGCCAAATCCCGAGTCCAGCGCGCATTACCAGAATCTGTTCTCCCCGCAGTCACCTATCGGAAACCATCTGTCGGAGCGAACTCGCGCCACAGGGAAATCAATGATCAATGACGACGCCGGCGACGACGACGACACCGGTGAGTTGCTGAAGGACCCGGTCGCCTACGCGGAAAACGGCGCCACGTCCCAGCGACGGGCCACCGCCCCACAGCTACCTATCTCGCGTCTGGCCAACCTATCCCTCAACACCAGCTCGTCTTCTGGCCCATCATCTTTGCCGCAATATGGTCAGCAAGGGATGGGACCGATGTCAGCTCATCCAGCTACCATGTCGCCAACCGTCTTGGGCAGCGGCTCACACGGGGGGATGCCCTTTCACATGGCAGGTGGCCACCCGTACGCCCGGCATAACTTCCCCCCGGTGAACCCAGCCGACCAGAACCCGCCGTGCAATACTCTGTACGTCGGTAACCTTCCCATCGACACTTCCGAGGAAGAGCTCAAGGCTATGTTCTCCAAGCAGCGAGGATATAAGCGCCTCTGCTTCCGGACCAAGCAGAACGGCCCAATGTGTTTTGTTGAGTTCGAGGACGTTTCCTTCGCGACGAAGGCTCTCCACGATCTCTACGGCCAGCCCTTGCACAACAGCGTCAAAGGTGGCATTCGCTTGAGCTTCTCCAAGAACCCTCTTGGCGTTCGATCTGGTCAAACTCCCGGCCAGGCCACTTCACCCATGGGGGGCATGATGACGGGTTCTACAAACGGTTTCAAGACCGCCAATGGACCCCCTCCAGGCCTCGCAGCTCCCCCAGGCCTCGGCGCTGGCCGCTTCAACGGTAGTTCGACCGCACAGTCGTACACTGTTGCTGGATTCCCCGCTAGCAGCAACAGTAATGTATGGAATGGGTACAGCGGCGCCATGACGGCCGGCGGGCCTGGATCTTTGATGAACGGAAACAACTCCAACTACCTGCCACCTCACATGCTGGGCAGGTAAATGTTCAGAGGATGGGCTAAAGCTGCCCTAGGGCATTGGGACGCACTGTGGCGAAATAATTGGGCGTTACGGTGTTCCTGGATGAATATACGACGACATTGAGGTAACCAGACGGACTGGGGACGGCATCGACGGACAGTCCGTCTCGGGACACTGTCTTTCTACCCAAGCTTTTCAATGGGTTCAGACCCTGGATCTGCGGCACTCTTTGCCACACGGCGCATACGCATTTACATTGGCATCTCATCTCGGCACTCATCTTCTCATTTCTTACATCAACTCTACACGATTCCCATCTTGGCTTTGAGCGACTGGGCCCTTTTTATGACTCGGAATCGCGTGAGCTTCTCGGGAACGGAAGACGTGCATCAGGAGGCGCTTCGTTATGGGCCACCTCGGTCCAGGGGCGCGGCAACGTCGAGGTTTTGATTGAAGTAGTTCGGTTTAACTCTCGTTTCTCTTATTCCCCCCTTTTTTGTTTTCGATAATGGCGCCGGTCTGGTTTCCTTTCTTTCATTCAGCATGGCGCGTGGATCGGACATTTACTACGGTAGACGAGCTTCGGGGAATCTAGTCTCACGTCCCTGCGGACTATTATACCCTGCGCCAACGACTCGAGGACGGAGTTTCTGGGTTCGATACGTTTTGCGATGCTGTTTTGCGAAGCATTCTCAGGATCTGGGGCAACGGGACTAAGGACAAAGAAACTCGCGGGGGAATGGGATATCCACTGGCACAGCGATTAGCGATTGATGCGTACGGGGGAGCGTTGTGTTGGGTTTTCAGGAGCATGGCATGAGTCAACCAAAAAGAGAAAATGCCCAAAAGCACAGAAGAAAGCGAATGGATTCAAAGTTGATCTAACAGCAAAACCCCTCAAAAGGCAAGGAGGCCGAAAGTCGTCGTTTTAATCGCGCGCAACACACACGTTTGGGTCATAAAGGACACGGATTTTTAAAGAACGCGAACACGGAAAGAGAGAAGGCGGAAGGGAAGAGAAGGCAGTCTGGCAACGGCGCGTCCTCCATTCTGGGCATGGGAGGCAAGACTGCATCTTTTTCTTCTGTGAGGCACGCACAAAGGCATGGGCACGCATTCAACTGGGGTTCTTGTTTGGCATCAAAGACGGGAAGGGGGGACCTCCAGCATCGCGCAAAGCACAATGGTTGGGACACTCTGTGAGCAGGCTGCGTCATGGGGACCGAAGAGGCGGGGTTGGAAGGGTTGTCCTGGCGGGAAGACGCCCATCCCCGGCGTTTTCTCCAATTGTTTCGGTTTTTGACGTGTTTCCTGTGTTGTTTCCTTGCCAATTTTCTTTTTCACCATTGAGAGCGAAACATACCCCCTTATGGGATACTATTAGGCCAAGAAAGGAGTTTGATTTCTGTTGTGACTAGACAAACCGGGACTCAAGTTTGTGCCCATGATCTGGACCCATTGAGGTTGTGACAGCGCGTGACGATCCCGTTCCCGGTGGGAAGGTAAAGTTTTGGTGGGCTGGGTGGGTTCCGCGGCCTGTTTTTCGGTTGGGGGGAAACAGTGACTGCCAACACCTTCCTGTCCCCCTCTCGAGAACCGCCGCCGCCACCACACCGCCCCGCTTGATGGACAGGAACCCGAAGCTGGGCCGGGTGGATGATGGGTTACCTTACCTTGCTTCACGTCGCACAAGGTCGGAAGGGCCCCGTCTTGGGTTTAGTCGCGTCGCCGCCCTTTCGCGCTCGCGCGCGCGCGTCCACGATGTATTTTCGGGGGGCCGAGGAGGGATATCCCTGAGACCCCCGAGTTACAGTGTTTGCATTGCCGCGGGTTTTATTTCCCCCCTGTACCAGTTCCATTACCATCGGTGGTCCCCTAACTTTTTTGGCCCCCTTCTGAATTGCCTGAGCCTTACGCTATCTCTGTCTATCTACCCCGGATGATCCAGCGGGAAAGATGGGGGCGCGGGTTTTTTTTCCTTTCGGCAGTGTCTTGGCGTTTTACTCGCTCGACCCTTTCGTCGTCTTTCGAACTCGTGATTTTCTAGAGTGCATCTTGCGGACACGTCGTTGAAGACAAAAGCTGAGCATTGCGTTCATCGACTCGCCATCGGCGTTCGTATTGGACTTTATCTGCTGCACATGCTTTCCTTCCAGGTTGTTTTTTAGGTGGCGCGGTGAAGCCATAACGACGCCTTGGAATTTGACTTCCCCTCAACACTATGGCGCTCAACAACCAAGACTACGGGCTACATCATCTTCATTGACGCCTTCTGCGCCTCATCAAGTACGGATGGATATGCTCAAAAAAGCAAAATGAATCTCCTCGACGGGGAATTGAACCCCGGTCCCCGGCGTGACAAGCCGATATCCTCACCACTAGACTATCGAGGATTGGTGTTATTGTTGCAAGGTGCAACAAGTTTGGTACTCAAGACCCACACCAAAGCGGGCAAGCGGAGGTCCTCAGCTCAGATGCTCCGATTTCAACCACTTCGAAAGTGACGAGGTGAAGAAATAAAAGAAAAGAAAAGCATTCAGAAAAATGTTCTCTGTGGTTTTAGTATATATTTACGACCGTATTTCCTTTCGTCTCTGCCCTCGTCTCTGTCCCGCCTTGCGTAGTCTTTTCTTAGATGGTGAAAGAGTACTGCCCGCGCAAGTCGAGCCATGTGAAATTCCAAACATCACGCAGAAACATCACGTAGTCTCGATGCATGTTTGGTTCTTTGTGAGCAATCACATGTCATAGTCTTCAAAGACCGCAGAATTTCGACGATGGAACGTCGGTGGAGTAGGTTTCCGCTTTGGATCATGCTGCCTCTACTCAGAAATAAGAAAAGTGCCATTCTGGCAGCGCGCATCTCGCAAAGGATACTACAGAAGGAATTATTGTCTCGTTGGCAGAAAAGCTCCCCTCCCACGACCACCCATCGCCTTTATCTACGTGATTTGTGACTGAATGGGCCCCCCCCCGACTTGGCAACCCGGATCCAGCGATGTGCATCATCAAACGCATCTCCTTGCCGTCTAGATCCCGCAGGCGTGCGGTCCGAAGGCCGCAGCACACCCGGCCGCCTTTTTTTTTTCTTGGGTTCATCGTACGATTGATCTTATTCCCGTTATTTTTCGTCCCCATCGATTGTGCTCTAATACGTCCGCGGAGCAGTTCCGACTTACTCTCCACCGGTGATCTGCCCGCCAGGTGCCATGTATGTCTTGGACCGTTCGCCGTCGCGGTCGATTTGCATTTCTCAGATCTGCTTCCCCGTCTATAGATAGGGGTTTGTGTCGGGCGGCTGGGAGATACAATGAGATGGAGCGGGCCGCACGCGCGCGCCGGATGTGACGCGACACGGGGATTCTCTTCTCTTTCTTCCTTTTCGTCTTGTATGTATTTTCTCCTGGGCTATCTATCTGACAGCACGATCGTAATTGTTTCTGGGAAAGGACTGGACGTTACAGACAGCGATTTCCTGTTCGAAATGACAAGCCATCAGAACCTGTAAAAAGCGAAATTTCCGACACGAGAGGATGTCCGAGAAGGCGGCGTCTCGGCGCAGTTCCAAAGCCGGTTCGCCGGCCGCAGCGGCGTCCTCCCCGCCAGCGGTGACGGAGGGCCAAATCATGGCGCATCTCGACGTCGAGATTGACGCGGAAGATGTGGGGAAAGCATTTACCTTGATTTGTGTTTGTTCTCACGGCTAAGTGTCTGTTACTTACAGCCCGCGGATAATGATAGTGTTTTCGACACTGCGAGTGTAAGAGCGCCGGGCTTTCTTCGTACTGCACGGTAGCAGAGGCTGACTTGTCGGAAGCTCGCCTCGTCAACCACCAGCGTCAATGAGTCGATTCTCAACTACCGGACGGAGAACGGGAGGACGTATCACAGGTATAAGGAGGGCAGTGAGTCTTCTGCGCATGGTCCGCCGTCGGCAGATACGCGCTGACATTGCCTTGAAGAATACATGTATCCCAACGATGAGCAGGAAGTCGATCGACTGGGTATGCCTTATCCAGGTGACTTACATCCACAGCTGCTGACCAGTTTTTTCAGATCTTCAACATAACATGTACCTCCTCACATTTGATAATAAGCTCGGCACGGCGCCGCCGAACGATATGAACTCACACATCGGGCGTGTGCTCGACTGTGGCACGGGGAGCGGAATCTGGGCGATCGAATTCGGGGACGAACACCCGGAGGCCGAGGTATACTTGGACCAGCTCCGGCGGACTTGACTTGTGGCTGACGATTTCGATGTGCCAGGTGCTCGGGGTGGACCTCTCTGCGAACTTCCCAGAGTAGTAAGTCTGCCCAAGCAAATTGCCTTCAAGTCATGTAAGCTTAACACATCCAGTGTCCCGCCGAATGTCAAGTTCGAGATCGACGACATTGAGGAGCCATGGACGTGGTCGCGCCCCTTCGACTACATCCACAGCCGGATGATGACGTCTGCTATTAACGACTGGAGGGCATATCTCGCCCAATGCTACGAGTGAGTGGCCAATAGAAGTGCTCGTTGTCACGTTCATACAGCAGCTGACGCGAAACCCGATAGCCATCTCAACCCCGGAGGCTACCTCGAGCTCAACGAAGCCGACGTGAACCCTTTGTCCGACGACGGCACCCTCAAGCCCGACTCCGCTCTGTCGAGATGCATGTGCATGATGGCAGAGGCCTCGGATATCTTGGGCCGCCCGTTTGTCGATGTGCAGGGGTTAAAAGACGTCATGGTGGACGTGGGTTTCGAGGACGTTCATGTCCACCGTTTCAAGTGGCCCACAAATCCGTGGGCGAGACATTCAAAGTACAAAGAGCTCGGTTTCTGGTGCGAGGAGAACTTTGCTGGGAATTGGGAAGGTATTATCATGGCGCCGTTCACGAGGGGCCTGAAGTGGACTAGAGAGGAGGCGATGGTGTTTGCGATGGAGGTGAGGAAGGAGTTGAAGGACAGGAGTATCCATGCGTACTTCTCCATGTAAGTTGTGATTGAACTGTTATGGCGGCGGTACTGACTTGACACATAGATGGTCGATATACGGACGGAAGCCTGGAGGAAGATGAGCCGACCTCTGGCCATCGCTGAGGCACTCCATGAACAACCCAAAGAGCTGGTTGAGCGGTGGCTAGTACAACGGAAACAGCTGGACTTCAATAGACACAGCTGTCAAAGCATCCCTGCTCTCCCTGTTGTGCATTTTGTCCTCATCCATCGGCAATGGATCAAGATGGGCGCTGGTGCAAGTGGCCGGAGAAGTTACGTGATCAAGGTTGGGCATCAGGCCACCTCCATAATCGATCAGTTGTACTGCATTTTGAATGTCTCAATAGCTCTCTTCCTTTGGTAACCAATGCGGAAGGTCCACGAGAATTAGAGCCATGTATGGACATGCGTTGTTTGAGACATGGGCTCTGCGCTGGCAAAGTCACCGACCAAGCTATCAGAGACATTGGGGAACAACTGCCGTATCGCGTTAGCGACCAAAACCCAACTAGGATTGACAGCTTCTCTGAGGGTTGCAAGAGCAGCGTGTCGAAAAAAGCCACCGAAACGGCCGCTACACCCATTTCCCCGACTGACGGGCTTCGATATCGTGGCGTCTCAGACACGTACACCAGATTTGGGAGGCAACCACGTTGCCTTTGGGGTTAGAGAGGTGTGGTGGATGGACAAGATCTCCATTGGACATAAAACCTTGGGTGCCGGTTCTCATTCGTCCGCCGCAGGGGCTAATGGTGTGAAGGCGACCTCACGCGTGGGATGTTGGAGGTGTCCTCTGAGTCTGAGGTTGCATCGCGGGCGGCGGCGATGGAGAAGGAAAAAAGCTGCCGTTTCGGGCGCCGTTTGCCTCGGCGCGTGGGACATTCGGCCTCGGCCATGGGGTGGGATGTCGGCACTTGCGCCATCCGAAAACTGCGAAGCTCGAGAACAGCAAAAGCAATGTCATGGTGAAATGCCGTTTATTTTCCGCATTTTCCGGCATCATGTGAGATCACAGGCTAGATGAGGGTAAGCAATTTGTCAGTGCCGAGAGCGAGGCAACCGTCACGGGCCGCGAGACATCCGGCTGCTGGGGTGCAGTTGCGCCATGGGATGAGATGAACATCTCAAGACAAGAGATGAGAACTGCAGGCAGCCTGAAGCTGCTTCTCACCCGCAAGATCCTGCAGGCTAAATCGAATCTACGCCGCAGGAAAAAGACGCGCAGAAGAGGCGCGCCCGCGCGACCTCATGATTTGCCCTGCCTTTTCTGACGTGTTCTAGGCCGGGTTGTCCTCGGTGTGGCGCCCAGGAGTGACGGTTGCTGGCTTGCGCCGCGTGTGCGCGGGCGCCGACGAATGGCAGCGTGACAGCGACATTGTCAGTTTCGTCTGGCAAACGGACGGACGGGCGGTATGGGACGGCTCTTGTTGTCCCCTAAGCCTCCCGAAAGGGGTCCTTGGCCATCGTCTTGGTGTAGACATGTACACACTGGGTGGGCGGGGAGTGACTTGAGGTGTGTCTCGTGAGTGTGGCCGCGTTCTGTATCGCTGGTCTTGGAGCAGGTGGGCGGACGTGGCTGGTGGGATTCGCTTCACCGGTGAGGGGCCCTAGGGACGGGACGGGACCGGTGAAGGGAGGTGAGTGAGACTTGGTACGCGGTTGATTTTCGAGGTGGGATGTATGTGAGGCACAGCAATAGTGTGTGTGAGAAAAGTTGGAACCGAGGCAAGCCGCTAAGAGATGGAGGGTGGTTGTGGCAGGGGTTCTGGGGCGCGAGGAGAAAACTGTCACGCTGGGAATCGAATCCACATCGGAAAGTGCTCTTAGTAGCCATTGATTAGCGAAAAGTGCGAAATGCGCATTCCGCATGCTGCAAGAAGCTTGAAACAGACCTATTCGAAACGTTGAAGAAATGTGATGACGCCTGCATATGGAGATTGTCGATTTCCGTTGGCGATGGTGGTGTCGTTGGTGTGTGAGCAGAGGAAACGCGGAGGTGGCGGCGGTCTGGGCCTTCTGTTCTGCAGTGCACATCACCTCGACCAGGAAGGAGCGGGATCCGGCCCCGGGCCCGACGGGCGGGTCCGGTGATGATTAATGTGGATCTGCTTCCACCGGTGGTCCGGGGCTGCGGTCGTGCGACCCCATTTCGTTCGAGGACGGTGCATCTCGTGCAACGGCGGTTGTAAGCGGACATGATTTTCGCCGCCGTGTAACCCGCCCGGTGTGAGCTGTCATTTGGAGGAGCTGGGAGGGGGAAACAAGGCAAGGTTCTGGCCACCGGCTGACCCTTGAGGCTGAACGTGGATGGGTTCGTCGAGAGATCATTTGCCAAGCGCGAGGGGTGAGACGATGTGAGCTGACTTGCATTTCCCGGTATACGGCGCTTGGGATGAGGAAACGAGGCACGGCAGGCGCTTGACTCGGGTGCGTGATACGGATACGAACGGCGTGGTTGTCATGAGGGGAGGTATTATAGACTTGCTCCGTCACAACAGGGTGTTGAGGCTCTATGCCCAATCAGTTCACTCTAGATTGTCGGTTTCGTGAATGTTAGCGCCTCGAAAAGTAACGTCAGGTCAGTCAAGTGGTTTCGAAGACGCAGACGTGTTCTGACTTGCGAGCCTGATGACTCGGCAGCTTGGCGTCTAAGAGAGGAACCGCTGATTTTATTTTCACGGAGATAACCTTAAAAATTGCTTATTGCAACGTCCTATCGAGAGACGAAGGACGATGAAGCTTGAAAGTTTTACCAGACTAGAATCCGGTGGATGACCGGCTCATGAATCTCATGCGATTACTTCAACGCGTGGGTTGATGAGCCCTGTCTGCAAATGTGATCCGATTTTTGAGTTGTGCGAGAATTTTCAAGCCTCTTTGAATGTGTTCATGAATGACGTGATGTTTCTCACTTGCGTCCATACCAAAGGTGGCTTAGAATAAGTCACTCAGATGACGAGATGAGATGTATGAAGTCTCCCTGAGAGTGAAGGATGATTTCCCCCCTCATAATCTACGGTTTTCTGATGGTCACTGCAAGCGAACCTTTAGGGAATTCCTCAAGTTAACAGAAAATAAGATACAGATATATGAGAAGAGGGGGTGCGCAGGAAATGAGAAGTTCTCGTCAGAGAAGCAAGCTGGCATTCCAATCGACGGTTCTGTGAAGAGCAATAAAATAGTCGTTTCTGAGGATTAAATGCAACTGACTCTTGTGTCTGCTGAGTTATGGTTATGTACAAGAGTTTTGCTAGTCGGACAGTGTCCACACACACGTATATGATCCGTAGCCTATTTCTAAAGCGACTGTATTTCCTATTCTCGCTTTCGTCGTCCTTATTATCTATTATTATTATCTATATTACTATCGTCGTCTCCGTCGTCGTCTCCGTCGTCTTTGTCGTTATTATCCTTATTACTACTTCTATCGTTCTCTCTATAATCACGAATCATAGGGGACATTTCCAGGACAGCTAACTAACACTGCCCGACTAGCAAAACTCATGTAAAATGCTCCATGTCTTTGTTCAGAATGGGTTTGATCCTTAGCACATAACAGAGCTTCAGGGCTGCCAGGACAGCCAGGACCAGTACGCCTAGCTGTTTCCATGTTCATTCAAGTGGTTTTCAACGTGATTAAACCATTTGGTGATCTGAGTGACGGCGTGGACGCGACTTTGGACTCGACTTGGCCTAGATTCCAACTAGCATACCAATTGCACTCCATCAACGATCGGCGACAAGTTCTTTGGCAGAGAAGGAAGCCACCTATGCGTTCATTGTTCGCTACTTCTCTTTTCGCTCGAATCGTTCTTTTGAATCCATCATGTGCGTTCAAGCCGGGCTGAGTTGTGCTTTAGCATCTGCAATATTGTGAGTAGCGCCTTTCACCCGAGGCCTTTCCTGCCCCAAGCCAATATGGTTTCACTCTTTGACGACTGACCATTGATTCCCTGTCCACATATCCACGTCTGAGATTCATAAACAAATAGAAAATCTGGTAGACATGGATAGACCCAAAACAAGTCCTTGGATACTGGTTCGGTTTAGGCGTTTGTGGCAAGAAACGGAGTCACGAAACCACGTAACGACTGCTCGAGGTAAGAGATGGGATCTATTGGCAACACGCCATCTAAGCAATGGAAGCTTCTTTGATCAGTCTCAATGGTGCTCAGTATTCTGGTGATCCTATCATGTTGTCACAGGCTTCACAACCTCGACCGCAGTTGGCCCCTGAATCCGATACCGATCCGAAGCGAGATCACAGCACACCGCCAAAAATTCCAGCTGAACGAGAACAAGAGTCCAAGTAAATCTTGGTCCCCATGTCTCTAGCTCAGGCCATTCTCTTGGCACCGTCGCCGTCCCCCTTCTCGTCTTAATCACATCTTCGGGATGTCCTTCTTGGGAGAGTAGACCCAGGGAACGACCACTAAACCCACCACGTCAGTTTCTTCATTCTGTCTGTGCCTGTTGCTCTCGACTCGGGGCCTCTCATGGATCATCGCGGAAAAAAGGAAAAAGACTTACTGGCGTAGACCTTGTCGTCGCGGTACAGCAGACGGATGCGGTTCGTGCCGTCATCCTCGGCGACGATGATCTCGACGTCCTTGCCGTGCTTGGCTAGGATCTCCTGGACATCCTTCTGGATGACGGTGGCGCGGGTAAAGAAGTGCTTGAGCTCGTCGTCCATTTTTGCTTGTGTTATGGGGGGTTTGTTCTGGTGGGTGGTTGTGTTTTGGGCTTGGTGATGTGAATATTTGCTGGTGGGTTGTTTGGCTTGGGAGTTTTTTGGTGGAAGGTTTGAAAACAGCCTCAGGTAAAGCAGGATTTGCAGATTTTGTTTTGGAAACAAAACACGGAAAGACAGGAAGGTGCTTGGTCGGGGTTGATGGCGGGTGCACTCGCCGAGGGGAGATGCACAAGGCGGCACCCGTCGAGAGATGGGTTTGAGGGGACTCGGGATGGGAGGCAGTTGATACTCGAGCGGCTTTGGGGAAGATGACGGGCGACGGGAAGCAGTCAAGCTTGGCTGCGGGTCGAGAATATCAAGAATACCACCGGTTTATTCCAAGCCATTCAAGGCTGGTACTACTGCCCCCCCCTTATTGTTCATCGGTGATCTGATGCCTTAATGTCATCAAGGCATGATATAATGTGAAGGAAGACAGAGCCCTTCACTCATGGAACAAGGGGGTTTGCAAAGACAAAGGGAAGCCCCATAACAAATAAGAGTCCTCAAATACAACCTCCAATGCTAATAACGCTTAAAATATATTGCCAAGAGCATGGTTTCTTATGTTCATTGTCAAGAAGAGTGTTGGTGTTGATTTTCTCCAATTTACGCTTCACTGTGCGCCTGCCTAGAGCCTCTCTCGAGTGTCTTGAGATGAAATCCTAAAAGATGATGATCCCGCCTCAAATATCCTTGCTGCAAAAATTCCCCTGCCCAAAGCCAAAGTATCCAAGCTCTTTACCAAATCCAAGAGTGAACTGCTCAGTGTCCCAGCGACACGAGCACCCGTCAACCACTCCCACTGGGCGAAGGGCCAAGATTCATAGTCGCCTGAAAAGACGGGTCCAGCTGCAGAGATGGATCTTGCCCTGACCCAAGATCGAACCCATCTTGCGCCTGGTTTGGGTCCCCGGCAGACCCATCCGACCAGTTCATCGTCATCGTAGCCCAGAGGTCGTGATACACCGGCTGACCATTCACCATGGTGGAAGCTCCGTTCGGCATCTGCTGCGCCAAACCATGCGGACCATTCCGGTTGAAATCTTGATCCCAAATCGGGAAATACGGGTCCAAAGTCCCATCAAACATCGGACACCCTCGAATGGTCCTCGGTAGCTTGTTCACCGGCGTTTCGATATTCGCCACGCGGGCCTCGTACTTGCGCTTGATCACCGCGAAGATGACTTTGCTCGCAGACAAGACATCCATTGTCTTCGTCGCAGGGGTGAGCTCCTCGTGATTTGCCGATAGCCTCGTCAGGTAGGAGTCGAACTGCAGCTGCTCGCGAGCGCGTGCATGGTCCCATTCCGGACATAGTGGCAGAGGAAAGGAGACGCGGATCGCGACGATGACACCTTGAATGAAGCGGCCCCAGTCTATTGAGGCGAAGTAAATGAAGTCCAATTTGTCCAGGGTCAGAATGTAGTCGAAGAAGCTGCGGAGCAGGGTGAGGATCTTTTGGAGGCGGCTGACGGGCATGGGAGGTCCGAGATCGCTATCGCCTATTTTTGATGTCGAACGGAGCTGGAAGATTGGGGCTGAGAGGAGATAGATCTCTGTGAAGAAATTTGCGATGGTCATTGAATCTTTTCGCGGTTAACACATGTCTGTATCAAAAGGAGCAGGAAGCTTACGTTGATCGTTGAGACTACTGGGTATGTTGCCCTGCCACTCCCTAAACTGGCTTTCAAGACCCAAGTGCATAAAGTGGACTTGCTGCTTGACCTGCTCAGAGTTCGGCCTGACTTTTGCCAGCTCTGTCGCCTCCTCAACGATATGTTGCAGGCGAGCCAACCAAGCGAGCATATGATCGCCCTTGAGTGCGGAGGAGTGCTCGAGTATGTCACAGCATGCGCCGGTCCAGGAGGTGTACTGGAGCGCCGACGTGTTTGCCCAGCCGGTTGCAAACCTAGCATCGGTCAGAGAGGTTTTGCGGAAGTACTGTAAGAAAGGCAAGACGTGCGCTGAGATGAGGTAGAAACAGGCGAGGTAAGCGCGGATGCCGTCGAGCCGATCTGGGGTGACGGGCGACGCGGCGGTGACGCCTGACGGCGGGTCGACGAGCTCGAGATCGTGCAGTATCTCGGCGGCCATGCGGACGTATTGAAATGCCTGCTTGCTCTTTGGGCGAAGATGAAATGGGTACCTGGGTCTGTAAGTGTATATCCAAAGTCAGCCAGATGGAGGTGGCCTACCATGCTGTGTAGATGAGGAGGCCTTGAAGGAGCTCCAAGGTCCGCTCGCCGCCAGCAACGAACTTGAGGCCAAGAATCTTGCGGAACTCTTCATCGTACAGCGTGTGCCCTTGTAATGCACTGGAACCTGATGCTGTCGCTAGGATGGCGAGAAGAAGGAACGGTTTCGTCTTTGATAGTGATGTGACGGTGGCATCGGGTGGTAGGGCGACACATGGAAAGTTCTTGAGCATGGTCCGGAAGGTCTGCAATAGTTTCTCGGCCGAGTCTAGGTTGAACTGAGGCTTCAAACCGAAGCTCGATACCGAGACGGAGGGTCCTGACGAGGGCGGCGAAGAAATAGTGGAATGCGAGCCGCTGCCAGAGCCGCTGAGGCCAATCATCATGTCAATCGAGTCCTGATCGGAGTCCAACGGCAAGAGTTCCTCCATATACCGCTCGTGACGCGCGGCAAGACCGTCAACATCATCGGGCTCTTCCAACTGGGGCATCTCAAAGTCGATGCTAAAAGTCTTGGAAGGGCCCGGCGGAGGAGGGGGCCGCGGAGCGTCCTGGTTCCTGTCAAAGAATGAGCATGGGGACAAAGGTTCCGATAGTGCCAGGATGACGGGATACGACCGCGATTGAAGGATCCGACAAGGGGAACGGGATACTCACAGTTTGGATTGACGTGGCCGGCGTGTCCTGGGGCCGGTACGAAAGACGCATTCTCGCTTGAATTCCAGACACCTAATTCGATCGGCCAACGGGTCAGTATGCACATGGACTTATACGCCGAAGCAGATCGGAAGATAGCATCTCGTCTAGCTAAGACGGAGTGGACTCACACACCTTCGACATATTCCAGTCTGCACACTAGGCTGGCACTTCACCTTGGCTGCTCTACAGGCCTCGCAGGCGTTCGTGACCCTCTGTCGCGGGGGTGCACTGCTGCCTCCTGTGCCTTCAGGGTCGACATTGGATTCCATCGCGATGGATGAGGAATGAAGGAGGGTCCAGAAGGAACCGGCGGGGTGAAGGGTGGACGAGCCGGATGACAGCGTGGGGAGCAGGACCGACAGCGGTTCTGGTACTCGGGTTCCAGCCAGCAGGACGGGAAGAAAGGACGAGGGACGATATCAATTGAGTCGCCGGGTCCGGACGAAGAGGGAGTTAAAGCCGTTGAACGCTTGGACAGCCGGGTCTGCCCCGATTGACGAGGCGATGGCACGAGTGGTTTTGAGGGTATTCCTTGTCGGCCGGGTTCTCGTCGACGCTGGTCAATGACCTGAGCGTCGCAGCGGCGAATGAACGATTGCTTTCAAAGCTCCACGCGTCTAGGGGTACGCAGCAGGCATCCGTCTAGTGAGACATCGCGGTGACGGGAGGTCAGCGAAGGACAATGGGATTAGAGCGACCAATGATGTTCCGGTGACCGTCGGATGTTGGCGATTGGCTGGCCGCAACAAACGTCCTCTGGGGAAGAGACGTACGTCGCGCTAATTCGACTCCGCTATTAGGGCGACGGCCAGGGGCCTCGACCGCTTGCAGGCCGACTCTGGACCCTGAGGTGGTGCGGTGCACGCCGTGCGCCTTTCATCTGCAACGACGTCTGAGGATAAGTTCCGAACCACTTCGGAGTGTTGGGTCGCACAGGCACAGCCAAAGACAATCATATCCCCTGAAATACGACCCAGCTTGACTTGGTCCCTTGGTTGTTTGAGGCTCGAGTCATTCACTTAGTCGCAACAGCCGGAATCCACTATTCCTCAGTTTGCATCCGAATAGCTTCATGTTTACTCTCATTTCCATGTGGACAAAATCCTCACCACGGAACGGCAATTCGAAACCCACCGAAGATGACAATAAAAACAAAGTCTTGTAATCGGGATCCTACATTATGGCATGCTATTCGACTTCAGCCGCTGACGTGACTGGGCTTAACGAAGGATGCATCATTACTACTACTGCATGTCCTTGATGTCAGGGTTGTTGCCCTTGAAGATGCGCTCGTACGCATCATCCAGTCCCCATACAAATTTGGAAATGTCGTTGACATGGTACTTGGTCTTCTCATCGTTGTCAAAAACCAAGTGCTCGCCCTGTGTATCGAGATCGATCCCCAGGCCCTTCCAGTTGGGAATATGCACACCTTCACGATGCGCTTGGAAATCCGAGCTCGCGCATCGTGACGAGCAGTAAACCGTGCTTTGGCCTAGCTGCTCCGCGCACTCCTCGCAGATAACAGCTTCTTCTCCGCTGCCGCCCATCTCCTCATCCTCGTCCTTAAGTTGGATGCAGCCTTCGCCGGCAGCGCAGCTATGAGCGCTGTTGAGGTGCTCGTCCTTTCTGCCAGTCAGCTCCTTGTTCTTCTGCCTTGTAGGGAGCATAACTTACGTATCCCTCCTCGTAACACTTCTCCGAGTCAAAGACCGTCCTCTTAGTCAGGCTCAACTCGGCAAAGATGAGACACATCGGGCATGCCAAAACGTCCTCTGGAGGCACCTTGCCCGAGCACACATGGCATGGGGGAAGGTCATAGAGTTCTTTATTGACCTGCGGACCTTGAGGAAGAGGCTGCTGCCGCTTCTGAGCTTTTAAGATCTTATCCTGCTCATGTGCCGCCTGCGCCCTCTTGAGCTCGTTAAGTGTCCGTTTGTGTCTGTCCATGTTGCCGGACGCCTGTGACCTTGCTGGCCTGTCGGCCTCGATTTGAGCCATTACTTCTTCAATATCTGAACCAGATCGTAGCTTCTCCACATATTTCGTACAGGACGGCGGAACTTCGCCCGTCTTTGGATCGCGAAAGAAAACGTCGATGAGGACGTCGTTCTCCTTCTCCGAGGGAAGATTGTCGAACTTTGAAGCCAAATCCTCGAGTTTCGGCGCGTCGTCAACGCCCCTGTTGACAGCCCTACGGACGTCCTCGACAAGAGTAGCGGTTGGCTTCTCTTCGTCCTCCAATGCCGCCTGAAAGTTGGCCCTGCTCATCGCGCCCTCGGCGGTGCGGCCTGCTGCGGTTCTAGGCAGGGTCTCGCGGTACTGTTTTGCCTTCTCCTTGTCGATGCGCCCCTCAATCGCCTTGAGATCTGCTGTGAAGTCCTTCAGTTTGGCGAACAGATTGTCGAGGTCGTTCAAGAATGCGGCGTTATTGGAGAACCACTCGTCCTTGGAGTCGAGGTATCTGCTTCTCATCGTCTGCACCACTTCCCCATAACAGTCTTTGCAGTGCGCAACGTGGGCCTTTCCATGCTGGTCGGCACATTTCGACTTGATGCTTTCGGCTGATTCGACCGTTTCCTTGTCTCTCCTCCGCTTGTCTTGCAACGCCTTGATCTTGCTCATAGCGACTGCCGTTGCTGGGGCGACAATGGCGATCTGAATGTGTTGATGCTGAGGTGTATGCCCTGACCGGCTCTTGAACAACTGTGGATTACGACCACCGCAAGTTTATAAGAATGAGTGCGATGATATAAACGGGGGGAAGCTCGGGTTTATGGATGAAGTCTGTTTCTTTGAGAACCGTGGTCGAGGTGAAGTGGATCCTCAGAGCAACCAAGGTCTGGTGCACGGTGCTTCCCTGCTATTTCGGTGAATGTCAGCCGAGCTTCAGCCGGCGCTTCCATTGCAGGCAGGTCCGGCCCTTTCATCTGCCTCAATCTGAACTTTACAGAGTCAACACAAACACCACACTTATCAGCACAGGACAACATGGTTAGTTAATTTCTTCCCTGATATCGCAATGTTGCGCTAACGACGCGTTTGATAGGCCGACAAGCTCCGCAACCAGCAAGAACTCGAGCGCCTGCAAGCCAAGTATATTGGCACAGGACACCCCGACACGACGAGTTGGGAATGGAAGACCAACATCTACCGCGACACCTACTCCTCTATTGCCGGCCACCCACCCATGCTCTCCTACATGGCTTTGGCAGAGAACGAGCCCACGCAGCTCCTTAGAGCCAGACTGATTCGGGTGCGTTCACCTTCTCGGGATAGCTCGTCCGAAATACAAAGTACAGTCTTGCTAACGTGTTGCCAGAAAATGATGCAACCAGCTGGCCCGCCACCAGTACGCGAAGATTAACCATCCACCGTACCATCATGTCTGGGTTTTACAATTGGGAGACGACAGAACGGCGTTGGGGACATGCTCATTGGGATCATAACGGAGGGCACAGATACCCTTGATTAATCATTGCGAACAAAGGCTATTCATAAACGCGTAAGCTTGGAATGCTGCGTTCCACTGGGTATTCTTTACAACCTCTTCGACAGACGTCCTTACACCACTCGTGCCCATGTCCATCATCGCGACGGCCCCGGCTCTGGAGCCTCCGACATGTCCACGTCACCCTCTCCATCCTCTCCTTGGATGCCCAAACTGGCGCCTATCTTTCTCTCAAGCGATTCGTCTGCCTGCTCCCCGTATACCGTACGCACCAAACCAGCGACGCCATCGATACCCATCTCCTCCTGTCCCCGCGGCCCGACGAGCCAGGTGATATCCTCGCTACCGTCGTTCGCCTGTGACGCCGGATTCTTCTGCACCTTGCGAACAACATAGCCCTGGGCCTGCATCCGCTTAAGAATATCCTCTGTCTTTTCCGCAGCGACATTGGCTTCGGCGTTGACGCGGTTGAGGTAGCGTCGCAGCTTTTGGTCGGATAGCTCGCCGCTGGACAGCATGATTATGGATATGATGAGGGTGTAGAAGCCAACATACGAAGACTCGTTCTCGGCGCTGGGTGCCTTTGTAGGTGTGATAATCGTGGAGGTGCGGTATTTGGCAGGGAGTGTCGTGGAGAGGACGAAGACGCCGGAGGTGGTCTTGGCTTGGGAGCCGGATTTTAATGCCGCAAGTCGTTAGCTTTCGCCAGATCTAGAGACGATTGGAGAGCATTCTGTAGGCATACCCTGGCGCTTCTCTGCCATTGTAAACTTTTCCTTGACCGCCAGCTCTCGCAGCTCCATACCCCAGACTGTGCGGAGCTGCGATTGCGCCAAGTCGAAGACTTTCCTGAATGATCTTCCCTGGTCTCCAAGAACTGGCAGAACTGTCAGTTGCCATCCATGCCGTGCCCAAACGATTGTTTTCTTTACCTCGTTCCTTGATGCCCTCACGGCGGATCGGAGTTCGTGAAAATTCGCACGCAAGCACATAGCGCACCAACTTCTTGGCAAGCTGATCCTCCGGGGTGGCGTCGGCCTCACCGTTCTCCTCGTCCCCATATTCTTCTGCATCTTCGGAATCGTCGTGCGCGCGGCGTTGTCTACGTGCCGGGGCCTCTTCTTCAGACTCGTCTTCGACCTGCTGATTGTCAGCTTTGCCTTCTTTGGCCATCAGTGCGTGCCGCGGGGCATACCTGTCTTCTGCGTCGTTGTGTAGGAGGCATCCTGTCTGCGTGAATAATGTAGCCGAATGAGATTTATGTATATCCGCACAAGCCCACCCAGGAGGTATATATCGTTTCAAGAATGCAATCGAACAAGATCCGATTCGTTGCGCAAGGTTTAGCCACGAAATGGTGATCTAGACGCGTTGGGACGCGATTTTGGCAGGGCGCACTTTACTTCGCGATCCACTTATCTAATCTCTTATCTTATCAGGTGCCCGCTGCAGTCGCAAAATTTGGGAGCTTTGGCTCGTCATGTCCGAACAATCGTCAAAGGCTCGAATCACTTGTCCCTAACCTTCATTGGCGGGCGCCTTTCTTCCAAATGATTTCTCGAGCAGTTCTTGCTCGAAGCATATGCCTGCGATGCCAGTTGCGACTCCTCGACCGCCCCAGGGCTCTCAGCTCCCACCGAGTGGCACCTTTACGATCCGAGTTCCTCCAGCGACGGCATTATAGTAGTCCCGATTCTGCATGGGATCGCCTCGAGGCGGACTCGCAAACACAGAAAGGAGAGAAGGATGGAGAGAAACTAGGAAGGAATCGAGAGCAATCCAAGGTCAAAAGTGGTTTCGACGAGCATATTGGACGACGTCAAGACCCCGCACCTGTAGAAGACAACATCGCGTCGAGTAGCAAGGACGAGAACGAGCCTCCCGCGGCGAAACTAGATGGGCCTCTGTTATTCAAGAAAACATGGCAGGATAAAGGGGACATCAGAAGAATGAGCGGCCGCGTGGTGAAACTCAAGCATGCTGTGCTTCCTGGCAACGCGCTAGGCAAGGTTGCCAGAGCGGTCATCATGCGCGATTCGAATAGGGCCGTCCGCAAGCTGCCCGTCGAGCACATGGCCGCAGAGGAGCAAGTGAATCTTGCTGCAGACTTGGAGAGACAGGCGCAAGAGCTTACAGAGGAGCAATCGCTGGCCAACATTGAGGAGCTGCGTCCCAGCGACCCCATCCTCTACAAGCACGAGTTTGATGAGCTGCTACAGAACCTGCTGAAGGGCTTCACAGTCTCTCAGCTGAAGGCTTATCTTCTGGTTGCGAGCAAGACTGCTCTGAAGAGCTCTGAACGCAAGGAACAGCCGATGTACAGCATTATAAGAGGCACCAAATGCGAGCCTTGGGCGCCGTTACGAAAGCTCAAGATTACTGGGTCACCCAAGGAAAGAATAGGATTGACTCTGTTGACGGAGGCCTGGGGCCTCCAGATCAGAGAGTACGTCGATGGTAAAGGTGTATTCAGTCCCAGAATTGCCACGAGATTCCTGCGTATGCTTTCAAGTAAGTGACGGTTATCTGACACATGCCTGGCAGATCATCGACTGACCCATCACAGGAGAAAAGAAGCGCCTCGACGCCATCAGAAGGACGTATCTCGATGCCGAAGAGAAGATTCTTATCGGGCAATCAAGCATCAAGGTCATCGCCACAAAGGCGAAGACAGACACCATCATGAAGGAATTAGAACAGGCGGCCAAGGATACGGTTGTTCAAACCATCGACGACGTCTTTTGGGTCCCCAATGATGACGAGACCGTCACGCTTTTGGAGCATCTAGGTCAGCTCACGAGCACCTTGATCACTCACAGGCCCCAAGAAAAGATTGTGGGTTATCATTGCCAACCGTCAAGGCGACTGTACTGACTAGAAGAATCAGATCGAAGTGGCATGGTTCCGCGACGGGCCCGAACAAAGAGGCCAAGAACGCCGTGCCGACGTCGTTCGACGTCTCCTGCTCACCGCGCTCTGGCCCAAAGAAGAAACTGTACACCTCAAGGGTCCGAAAGAAACTGAATGCCGAACCATTCCCATGGTGATTGGGCGCGAGAGGCTTTCGTGGGTGGACAAGTTGACCCACTGGTCTCGCTGGGCGAAACCCGTCGGCCGCAACTCCCGTCCTAAACCCCACATTTCAGTGAAACAGCGCGGCGTCCTAAGCAAGCCCATCGAGGCACCGCCGACGGAGTCGGAATTCCGCGAGAGGAGGAGCAAATCATACACCGCAACCACCGCCAGCTTCGGTCACATTCTGCACAAGAACGCGGACGCCGTGAACGTGGCCGCTGCCGCGGATCCCAGTCCACACATCTTCTCTCCCATCTCCCCTCCTCCCGCCAGCCTCGCTGCCCTGTCCGAAAGACTCAACTCGTCCAAACCCGTCACCACCTCACTCGTCCTCACCTTCCGTGCCCTCCCTTCAATCCATGAGTCAAAACCTGAATATTCCATAAAGACCCAACACTTCACCCGGGTCCAAAAGCTCGAAAAGCCCAGCGATGCCGTCAAGCCTTCGTCCGGACCTGTTCGTCGTCCGGACCTGCTCGAGCTGCAACTCACGATACCCGACGACCTACCAGAAGGGCCTCTCATGTGGGACTCATGCCCGAAGCGCCTCGTCTTGGTCGCGGATCAAAACCACACCGACGTCTCCATACCGGATCAGCCCGTCGATCTGCGCATCTCCCAGTCCGATCTGAGGGTCATGTCCGCCTCTGCTCTCGACGACTCCCCCTTCCGCGAGTACATCGACACCGCCGAACTCGACCTCCTCGCGGGACGGCTCGGCCCTCCCCCAATGATACGCATCGCGGACACGCCCTTCAATCCGCCAATCAAGAACCCCTCAGAACCGACGGACTACATGTTCACGGGTCTGGAGATGCGCCGCACGCTGGAGGCAGACTACCAGGGGCATAAGCTTCTGTACACGAGTGTCCAGGCCGGTCACCACGGCGGTCGGCGCGCAGAGATGGTTCTCGAGGCGCAGCCTGCTGATCCATCTCTGCCCCCAGAGGAGCAAGAGCTCCATGCTGCGAGCTTCCTGAGCCTGGCCAAGGACCTGGCTCAGGGCAAGGTGGTGAAGTGGGTGGGAGAGGTCGATGCTGAGGCGGAGAGCCAAAGGAGGTTAGCTGCCGCCAAGCCTGTGGCAGAGCCAGAGGTTTCGGACACCAGCATGTAAGATGAAGTGGATGGTAAAAGTCAAGCTGTAATTTGTATTCTATGTATAACATACAAACAAGCCTTATAGAAAACATCAAGAGTTTATGATTCGTCTTTCTCGCAACAATGTGTACCTGATCTTTCGAGGGATTAAGGAGACCCCAACCCAGAAAAAGCCTGCCTTGATCACTCATTCAGACAGCGCCAATACCAGCTCAATTTACCAGGAGTGGGCCATACACAGCTGTAACAGGCGTCTCAACAAAGATTCCCCAAGGCTGGAAAGAGTTAGGAGGCAAAAACGATCAGCATGTCAAGACAACAGTGCCACGACCGGAGATTCACCGCGTTGGAAATCGTCACAGTCAAACAACATCGACAGAAGCATCACGACGTCAGGTCACAAGCGAGGAGGCACAGCAGTTTTAACTTGGGAATCACTTCTAGGACTCTATTTTTGTGCTAACTAAGCACGTATCATGAGAAGTTTTTTGACGTAATAATCATCCATCCTTCCTCCCGATATTCGTGCTCCGAGCCATATCATGTGTCCTCATGCCACGCAAAGGGAATTCGTAAAGCCGTAGAAGTGAGTGTCCATAGCTGGTGTGCCACGGAAGAACTCAGAACCCAACCCTGGTGAGTCAAGTAACTTATTTCTTGGCAGCCTTGGCAGCGGACTTGGTGACCTGTTGATTAGAGTGTTAGATGATGACATGCGGTGAGAAGGAGTAGGAGTTGAGAACATACCTTGCCGGAACCGCCAGCAGACTTGTCGACGGACTTGATGACACCGACAGCGACGGTCTGACGCATGTCACGGACGGCGAAACGGCCCAGAGGGGGGTAGTCGGTGAAGGGCTCGACGCACATGGGCTTGGAGGGAACCATCTTGACGATGGCGGCGTCACCGGACTTGATGAACTTGGGGTTGTTCTCAACGGACTTGCCGGTACGTCTGTCAATCTTCTCGAGGATCTCGGAGAACTTGCAGGCAATGTGGGCAGTGTGGCAGTCGAGGACGGGGGCGTAGCCAGCACCGACCTGACCGGGGTGGTTGAGGACGATAACCTGGGCGTTGAAGGAAGCAGCGCCGGCAGGGGGGTCGTTCTTGGAGTCACCGGCGACGTTGCCACGGCGAATGTCCTTGACGGAGACGTTCTTCACGTTGAAACCAACGTTGTCACCGGGGACACCCTCAGTAAGCTGCTCGTGGTGCATCTCGACGGACTTGACTTCAGTGGTGACGTTGGCAGGAGCGAAGGTGACGACCATGCCGGGCTTGAGGATACCGGTCTCGATACGGCCGACGGGCACAGTGCCAATACCACCGATCTTGTAGACATCCTGGAGGGGAAGACGGAGGGGCTTGTCGGTGGGACGCTTGGGGGGCTCGATGGAGTCAATGGCCTCGAGGAGGGTCTTGCCAGTGACCTTGCCACCCTTGCCCTCCTTCTCCCAGCCCTTGTACCAAGAAGCGTTGGTGGTGGGGGCAAGCATGTTGTCGCCGTGGAAGCCGGAGATGGGGACGAAGGCAACGGTCTTGGGGTTGTAGCCGACCTTCTTGATGAAGTTGGAGGTCTCCTTGATGATCTCCTGGTAACGGTCCTCAGACCACTTGGTGGTGTCCATCTTGTTGATGGCGACGATGAGCTGCTTGACACCCAGGGTGTAGGCGAGCAGAGCGTGCTCACGGGTCTGGCCATCCTTGGAGATACCAGCCTCGAACTCACCAGTACCGGCAGCGATAATGAGGATAGCGCAGTCGGCCTGGGAAGTACCAGTGATCATGTTCTTGATGAAGTCACGGTGACCGGGAGCGTCTGAGTGACATGTCAGTGCGTGGTCCTTATGAGGGATTTCCACACTGCAAAATCGCGCTCATCCAAAAATGAGGTATTCGGGCAGCCAATTTTCAGCGCAAGGAAGCCAGACTTACCAATGACGGTGACATAGTACTTGGGAGTCTCGAACTTCCAGAGGGCAATGTCGATGGTGATACCGCGCTCACGCTCGGCCTTGAGCTTGTCAAGAACCCTGGGAAAAGTTAGAAAA